TGAGCACCGGACTCCCAAATCCTTTTTTAAAATTCATTGTTTTTAATTAATTTTACTGAGAAACAAATAGCAATGAAACAGTTTCAAAACCGATTAGTAGGACAGTTCCAACAATTAATACATTGCATATTGTTGTCTTCGTAGTGGTTATTCATAGTACAAGATGCAGACATGATATCCTGTGCAAATGCTATTGCTACAAATCTTTCTTCTCATTGAATTAATAGACAGTAGCTGTATATCTAGCCTAATTAAATGTCTAGATTTTTTTTTTTTTTTTTAAGGAACCGGGATTGAACTCAGGCCCTTGCGCTTATTCTATTAAGCCATCTCCCAGGCCCCGTACCCTCAAGTCCTGCAGGGCGTTTCCTTACCACCTCTTTACATCCCCTTCTCTCCATCTCTTCACCCCATCTTTCCTTCGCGTCTCTGGGTTTACTCTCCAGGCACTACAGCGCTTTCTGACCGGCGTCTGCCCCCACCCCCTCTCTACACCAGGTCAGAACATTGCTTCGCGCCACTGTTCTCATCGGGTTGCTGGGCAACGCGAGCCCGGGCCTTCTGCAGGAGCCACACACTCTAAAGAGCGGCTCAGAGTCTCCACCTACCAAGTGCTCCTTGGGAGCATGGCACCCGATTGAGTAGTCACTCCTAGATGGAGGCATAAGGAGTTGACTTTGGCTCAAAAATTACACCTTTGGCGTAACCACAGGATGCGTCCCGCAAGGTCACACTTCGCTATCTCCCTGAGCCTTACTGTTTGGGTGCTTGGAGGGCTCCCTGGAAGATGAAGGCTCTCGGAGCGCCCAGGCGCTGCGCTTCTCCAGGCCTCTGGGCCCCCAACTCTGAGCACACTCACTTACTTTTTCAAAGACAGGGAGGTAACGATCCTTCGTTCTCTCGCTAATCTGAGCCATCTTGGCATCTTTTTGGTCTGGAGGAGTCAGTGGCAGATGTAAGATGATGTCGTATAAGTCTACCATGCCTTCTGTGTACATGTCAATCCTGGAAGTCAAGCACATCCAATCAAACAGTGCCTTTCTTAGACTTTCTGGTTTAAAATCTAAATAAATAAGAGCATCAGGTTGTTGCAAAGTAATTCACCCCCGCAGGTGCTTTCCTACGTCAGCCGTCCCACTGTGAGCTTTGCTTATGCATTGGCCTTTGCGTCCTACAGTGCTCCAGATTCACAGAGCAGAGCAGCCTCTGGGAACCACTGTGGTCACCGCTAAAACTGCCCGCAGTGTCTGCAGCCCTGCGTGGGCCACCTGCCTGCAGCCTTGCCTTCTCCCCGCATGCCTAGAAAACAAGCTCCCCAGGCTTGGTGCTGTTCCTTTCAGTCACACAGAGGCTCGCTGTTATGTTTGTGGTGAAGGTTCTGCCAGTTCTCTCCCCTAAAACACACTTCCAGGGCTGGCCAGATAGCTCAGCAGGTTGAAGTGCCTGCTTAGGCAGACACAGGGGTTGGGGTTCGATTCCCTGCCTGCCCTGCCAGCTCTGTCCCCGGGGCACACTGAGATAGCGATTGAGACTGGGCATGGTGGTGCACGTCTGTAATCCCAGGGCTTGGGAGGCTGAAAACAGGAGGAGCACTACGAATCCGGTCTGTGTAGTGAGACCCTGCTGACTCTGTACTAAATATATAAAAAAGAGAAAAAAAGCACATTTCCTCAATCTTTTAAATCTGTTTCAATCACTGGCCTCATGTCCAGCTCCAGCAGTGCGGCTTTAGCCCTGTCACTGCTGTGTGTTAAATGCAATTAGAAGCAGCTCACGCCGTAGGAGACTTTTCTTTTTGTCATTTCAAGTTGGGCTTTCTACAGTTAGTTTGAAATTTATATGACAGCTTTTGTGGTCGCATATTCACACACTTAACTGTCAGTCCTTGAAAATATAGTCCTCTTATTTTTTATTAAAGTTATAGAATTATGTAAACATCAGCATTCATTATTCAGGGCGTTTTTATGAACTACTCTCAAGAACTCTTGTGTCCTTTGGCGATCATTCCCCAACTCCACTTAATTCCAGCTAGGCACCCACTAATACCTTCTGGTCTATGAATTTTGAATGTTGTGAACATTTCATGGAAAATCATGGAAGAGGTGGTCTTTTGTTTTTCCTTCCCTTTCTAAATACAATGTAATATTTTGAACATTTGTCCCTATTATATAATACATCACCACTTCATCTCTGTTCATGACCATTTATGCCTGTAGTACATTTTTTCCCTCTATCCACTCCTGGACCTTTGGAGTGCTTCTACTTTTGAAAATATGAATAATGGCTGCTAAATATATTTCTTTTCTTCTTTAAAAAAATCTTTTATTTAGTTATTTATTTGGTACAGGGCCTTGCTACATAGCTCAGACTCATAGTGATCCTCCTGTCTCAGCCTCCCCAGCTCCGGGATTACAGGCATGCACCACCATGCCTGGTTTTGGTGGTCTTCATGGCATGCAGTACCAGGGATTGAACCTGGGCCCTTGAGATTTGCAGGCAGGCACTCAGACTGCCAAGCTATCTCCCTATCCCTAATTTCTAAACATCTAAAAAGGTATTTCCTTTTCCCATGGGCATACACCTAGCAGAGGAATTGCTGGATAATTCTGCTTTTAACTTTTTGAGGAACTGCTAGCAATTTCATACAGGATTTTATTTTTATTCACTTCGGCAGGACAGGCACCCCCAGACCCATAGCTTGGTTTTAAAGAGTCGCTCTGCTTGTTTTAGCCCAGCATAAAATAAATACTTTTGGTAGCCCTGGTATCATGAGAACCATTAACATTCATCAAGCTGACCTGTCTTTAGAATAAGCAGGTAAATTAGGTCCAGGTCATCATTTTTATACTTTTCTTGTACTTAGTGCAGGGCCTATAGGGTCTACAGGGTCTCACTATGTAGATTAGACTCATAGTGATCCACCTGTGTTCAGCTTCCCAAGAGCTGGGATTACAGGTACATGCCACCATGCCTAGTCTCAATCACAGTCTCAGCGTGCCCCAGGGGTGGGGCCAGCACGGGACGCTGGGGATTTGACCCCAGTCACTGTGCTCTGTGGAAGCAGGCACTTTAATCCGCTGAGCTATTTGGCCAGCCCAATCATTTTTATAATTTCTGAAACTTGAAAATTAAGTCCTTTGGATCCGCCCACCTCCAAACACTCTTTTCTTATCCTCAAATTGTGTCACTTGTCCCAAGCTGTTGACTAAAGTTCGGTCTTTATAAAGTACTGGGCACCTGGGATCATGATTTCTTCACCCTCCTGATTTCACATTTTAGTGGCGTTTGAAAGGTCTGTCACTGTGCCTGAGAACAGCGTCCTCTGATGCAATCACAGCCATCTGAGTGCACCCAGCTGCACCCTTCCCTCAGCCCCAGGACTTGGCTCTGGCTGCCTCCCTGTACACGTCTAGACCCACCCTGCCTCTTGTTTGCTTTTGCTTTTTGAGACAAGGTCTATCCACATATTTCAGGCTGGCCTTGAACTTGCTATGTAACCCAGGCTGGCCTCGAACTCAAAGCGATCCTCCTGCCGTAGCCTGCTGAGTGCTGGGATTACAGGCGTGCACCGCCATGCCTGGCTCTTAGGGCCACCCTGCTGTGCTGCTTAGGGTCTTCCTGCCATGGTCCTGTTCAATCAATGTGGAACCTAAATGTTCTCTGTGATCTCATAGGAAAGCAAAAATATACCGTACAGGAGTCTCTCCTTCGTGTCCTTTCCGTAGAGGTTGTGCTTGGTGGCGATGTAGTTGAGAATGGCTCTGGACTGCACCAGTTTCATCCCATCCATCTCCACCATGGGTACTTGCTGGTACATCAAGAGCCCCGCTATTGGAAAAGTAAAGAGATGGTGAAATGTTTATGACCCCCAGTGTTTGAGGATGAGACTATACTTGTGCAAGTGACTAACAGTAAAACAAAGGGGAAATATTACTTGGCCATCTTCAGTTTGTTTGTAGCTTCATGTAGGCCTTCATTTTTCTTATCCACCTTTCTTTTGCTTTTTAATCTATTCATTTGTCTTTCATTTCCCTTATACACACACAATATCTCCCCCTTTTTTTTGTGTATTTTATGCATCTCCATGAATACTGCTATTGCTTGTATCTAGATGTCTCTCCGAAGTCTCATGTGGTCATAGGTGGGGCTTCTTCAGAGGTTTCTGGCTCTAGGTGGTAGGATGCTGGGATTAAGGGTGTGTGATTATTAAATTAGTCCCCTGGTTGGGCTGACATAGATCCAAGTGTGGATAATGGGGAGTCTCATCATAGGTGTGACTGTTGCCCACCATAAGCGTGTGTCCCCTGGATATCATACAAGGGACAGAAGAAGGGTTGCTTGCAGCTTGCTGCTTCACTGCTGCTGCTGTCTTCCTGCCCTGCTTTCCCATTTACTATTCCTGCTCTGTGAAGTTCCTTGGAGCCATCTGATTGCAAACTAAAGCCTCTACAAACTTTTTCTTCTTGAGCCAAAGAAGAAAATGACCGTTTTCTTCTTGACTTTTGGTATTAGGTATCTTGTCTCGATTGTGAGGAAATTAACTAAAACAACTATGATCAGAAGGTTCAGAGTTGAGCTCCAAAAGTAACACTCATGATGTCATGAGACTCATCAACACTTTTGAGATTTCTGTGTAGTGATGTCAACCTGAGTGTGGCTTAGATATCCATCCCTAACAAACCATAAATGAAAAAGCTCAAGGCAACTGCCCCATGCGTTTTGCCTCCTGCTACCTACTGTATGCTTTTGTGCATGTATCAATAGGCGGAAACTGTGAGATCATGAACAGAGTACAGTGTGAACAAGGTACAGAAAGCAAGGAGGGGATGTTTTCAGGGCTCTGGGGTCATTTAGTGACAAAGACTCAGAGAGGTCTAGCCCCTTCTATTCCTGAGAGCTGGAAGAGCTCCTTAAGAAGACGCACCTTACGTTTTAGCACTTGCTGCTCCCCACTACCACTCCTACAGCATACGAGTGTTGCATGACGTCAGTGAGTATGACGTAAAAGATGCCAGAGTCATGAAACATCAGCTAGGAAAAGCTGAGGCCACGAGTAAAGCTGGCCCAAGAAGCCAGGCAGGCTACAACTGACGCGGTCATCCAATGAGTCTCCCCAAGCCCTTCAAAACTTACATTTTACCTTGGAGTTTCTCAGGTGCCAGATATGGAGCCCCTGGATCTCATGTTCCCCTTGCTGGATTTCTGTTTTGATGTGGTTCTGCTCTTTCCTATGTCCTCTATTTCTCGTTCTTGGAATATTTACTCTGTGCAATTGTAAATTTGGGATTGTCTAGTTTTTTTCTTCTTACAGAGGCTTATAACTAAGAATTTGCCTTGAGTCTCAGAAGAGACTTGGAGCTGGACTACAGGAATTGTTGAGACTTTGGGGAAGGAATTATTTTCCCAGTTGTATGTGGAATAGTTCTATTATATCCATGTTGAAGACTGTCCAGCCACATTCTCCTGAGAAATGAAGCTCTTTGACTCTATTTACCTGAACTTTCGTTTAACCCTTTCTTCTGAGATGTGCAGAGCTGGATATTTAGAAGCAGATGTCCTCTTAGTTGGCCAAAAGAATGTGGCTGAGCCTGGCTGAGGCATAATGTGTCTCAGGGTGGCAAGGTCATGGCACACAGGCAAGAGTCACTTTCCTGTTGACAGCTGGAACGGAGGCTTGAGCGAGAGCCTGCGAGGTTCCAGGGCTAAGACACAGGTAACCCCTCAGCCAAGGCCTTGGCACTCAGAGATGACTGTACCTGCCCGGCAGGGAAAGCGCCAGCATTGCGGGGATCAAGCTTCCTGCAGCACCACTAACCGGGAGCCTCTGTGCCTGGGGCAAGAGTGTGGTGTTTCTCACTTACACGCCTTGTCTGCAAAGCATTTCTTCCCTCACATTCTGCCTTGACACCCAGCTGCCTCCCTGGTTAGTGCCAATAAAAAACGTGGGCACTTGGACTCTTGGGCCCTTTGTTCCACTGAGAGCAATCGGTCATCCCAGAACCTCCTCAACTGCAGATCTCTCTCTCTCTCTCTCTGTCTTTTTTCATCTGTGTGCCACATTGCCAGGTGGGAGACCGAACAACCCACAAGAATTTCAGTACATTAGTTTGAATTATGACCTTGATATTTTTTTATTTGAAGATTAAATATGGAGAATTATTTGGTTGTGAAGTTGACAAAGGGGGATTATGACTATGATTGAGGATAAGTCAACTCCATTGGATTAAGAAATAACTAGCAGAAGAGTATACTCCTCGATGTGTCTGGGTGGGTCATGGAGTTATGGATTAGAGCACTGTGCAGGGCCTGCTCCCCATCACGTTCCAGCATTGTTTCTTTGTTCTGTTCCCTATTGTCATGAGCTGAGCATCTCTGCCCCACTATACCCTGCTGCCACGATGGGTATGCCTTGGGCTGAATCCCAAAAACAAGATCCAGATTAAATCTCTCCTCCTCTGGATTGTGGGTGTCAGACATTGTGCCTGGACAGCAAGACAGCTGGCTAATACAGTGTTCAAATTTTATACTGCAAACTCTGATTAGTGAGACTCAAATTTATTTTTAAAAATATATTTAATAGGGGTCTACAGGGTCTCACTGCACAGGTTGAACTTGTAGTGATCCTCCTGTTTTCAGCCTCCCAAGTGCTGGGATTACAGGTGCGTGCCACCATGCCCAGTCTCATTCTCCATCTCAGCGTGCCCAGGGGTGGGCCTGACAAGGCATGGCAGGGGTCAAACCCCGAGCCCCAGCATTTGCCTAAGCAGGCACTTTAACCCACTGAGCTATCTGGCCAGCCCTATCAGTGACATTCAGACACTCGATCTTACCATCTCTTAATTTTTCCAAATCTTCTGGAGATTGTATATACTTCTCTTCAAACTGGAAGAAAATGAGAAAAAGTGCTTCTTAGTTAATTCCACAGTGTGGTAGTCTTTTAAATTTGAATGGTCCTTGTAATGAATATAAAGAAAAGTTTTTGAGTCTGGCAACAAGTCCATTGGCTAGGTCACAATTTAGGAGAACTATTACTGGAGAACAGGGACCGGGAATTCCTTTAGTCATAAGGGTTTAGAATGTCAGCAGAACCTGTGCTGTCCAGAGGGATTTCCTCTCCTGGCATATGTGGTAGGCCAATGTCAATCTAAGATTTTTTCACCACTGGACCAGTACTGTAATTTACATCACTCTTCTCCTTTTCATTGTTTAAGAGGAATTTTTAATCATGAAATGGTAGGTAAATGTCTTTCTAGCTTGCTTGGTAGGCTAGTGTTTGTGGTTTAGGCCCGTAATCTGATAGGGTAGGCTATACAAATGAGGACGAGTGTGTGCCACAGTTTGTATAGCATCCACAAAACCATTGTGGATCGTGACCTTCACCACTGGAGGATGTCTGGTGGGGTGTGCGGGTGATGAGCCTGATGGCCATAGGTGAGCCTGCAGTTATCAGCCCTTAGGCCCACAGAGCTCAAGAGGTCCGAGCAAGGGTCTGCAGGTGCCCCTCACCCAGGGCCCTCTTTCGTCATGTTTGGATGGAGAAGTAGAAGCCTTCTATGCTGAGGATCCTGCTCCCCTGTCTTGTACTGACCTCATCCTATTTGGAGGCTTGAAATGTATCTTAGAACCCTCATCTGGCTTCTGGACCCTAATGAAACCAGATCATACACTTACAGAAAGAACGAAGACTGGAATGGCACTACTTTATCATTTGTATTTTTGTTTCTTGATGAGATTAAGAAAGGATCAGACCAAGGAGCCATACATTGAAGAAGAACTGAGCAGGCTCGCTGCCCAGGCTGGAGTAAACACGTTGCTGTCAGCCTAGCGAGCACAGTAGAAGTTCCCTTTCCGGGACGAGACCCCACCTTACTGCTGTATTTGGACGTCTCCCAGCAGCCTCTCTTGGAAGGTGATTGGTTCGTGAGGGTGTGATACTCACAGTGGGTTAGTCCACTGATGAATTTATTTTTAATTTTAATTTTAATTTTTTTGAGGAACCGGGGATTGAACTCAGGTCCTTGCGCTTGCCAGGGAAGCGCCTATTCCACTAAGCCATCTCCCCGGCCCCCGATGAATTTATTTTTTAAGGAGGACAAAGAATAATAAACACTAGAAACAATACAGAATTTCACTAAACAAAATATAAATTAAAAAATGTTGCTATATTGCATAATGTTTTCAAAGTACTTGTTTGGATTAACAAATATGAGCATGCAAAATTGGTCAAAAAAGTTATAAGAAATTAAAAAGGACGAGAAAAGAAATTTAAGCATTAACGTCTTTCAATATACCAGTAGAAAGCAGCAGTACAATTATCCAAGATATTCTGTATGTACTCCTAAATATATCTCCTTCCTCCCTTCCTTCCTTCCTTCCTTCCTTCCTTCCTTCCTTCCTTCCTTCCTTCCTTCTTTCCTTCCTTTCCTTCATCCAAACTGTTTCTTCCCTTTTAA